ACTCAGATACCTCGTCTGTATTGCTCCTGGCGATGTTATGCCACTCTGGATGATGTTTTAGTGACACCTTTCTGACGGTTACATGTTACACGTCGCTCGCCGTTCGGCAGGTGCTGCCGCTGCGCTGTGCTAGAGTGCGCTACCCGTTCAGATCCTCAAGGCCTGTTGGACATGGCCAGTATGTGTATCGGACTGGCTGTTATGCCAAGTCAGACACCAGGATGTCAAGGTACACCTGACTGGCAATAATAGTTGGAGGAGAAGGAACACTGGTACGCACACTTTTATGGAAGTCAGGCTTTTGCCGCATGAGACTAAGCTGTCGAAGGGATGGGTCGAGTCAATGAGTGCGTACTCCAGCAACAGACACGTTCAGGAATGGAAGATCTGAATAGAGGACGAAGACTACAAAGCAAGACAGACCCCAATTCAAACTCCTGAGCGCCTACGCAATGCTGAATTTGGAATCGTTCAGGTTCTCAGGCTCCCCGGGGCGCTCTCAGTCTCGCCCCAGATATCCTTGCTCTCCTGTTCAACGGCTCTCATGCCGACAGCAACCTCTTCAAGCCGGGCAACGACGTCCAGCACACCTCGATTGACCCGCTGGAAATACTGATCGTTCGCCTCACGTCGCTTCCTTGCCAGCAGAATGTCGGCCTCGGTCTCTTCCTCGAGCTTAGCGCCCAGTCGCTCCGTGCCCATCCCGCTACTTCCAGGCCTTGCGCTGCCCGTTCCCACCGTGCTGCGGCCGGCATCTGTCCCGTCGCCACTCTTCCCGGTGGTCGTGTCACCCAGGACAGCACCCTTCAGGTTCCTGACCTCGTCGGCGCCAGCCGCCGAGAAAGCGCCGTGATCGCGGTGGCCTACGCCGATGGCATCGTCGGCCTCGCTGCGCGCCCAGGCTTGCGCGAGCGATATCTGCGCAGCCCGTAGGTCCGCCAGTTTACGATCATGATCGGGCCCAAACACATGCGTTCCGCCTGACGCAGAGAGCTCAACCTCCTCGAGAGTGGCTTGCATTTCGGCCCACAAGGCATCTGTCCTGTCGGTGGCGCTGCGGACGCTCTCCTGCTTACCCAGAGCGACGGTCGGCCGGTTGACCGAGGGCGCCGAGACTGTGAGAGATCCATTCCGCTGGTGCGAGGTCGCTTGCTGCTGAGGTAGAGAAGACACGCCGGCCGAGGTGGTGGCCGCAAGGGGGATTCCTGGGATCGAGACATGCGACGCAGCGGGTGACGGATGGAGGAACAGCGCGGGCGGAGGGTCCCGCTGCTTGCTCTTCGTCCTGTTCAGCGGGGGCGTGCCGCCGTTTTGCACATCACCCGTCACGTCCCAAGCCCGATCCGACGTTGACGAGCTAGTCACCTTGCTGAAACTCGACTGCATCGCATAGGGAACGGGAGGTGGGGGACTGGGAAGAGGTTCCGGTCGATGATGGGGTTGGGGTTGGGTGTCGGCTGCAAGAGTAGCGACAAGTCCTTGCCATGATTGGATGATGCACGGTGAGCTGAGGGATCCGCACCGTCGACCGACTCTCCGCATCATTGACCCTACCTTATCTTATCATGCACGTGACCCGCTTCGCCCAAGCCACCCCTCTAGGGTCGTCAAACCCTACAGAATTTCCTCTCGGCTCCGCTACAGCGACGAAAGCTCCCAGTATCCCGACTTTTTGCAGCCTACGCCCAGTCACCACCCATCAATCAAGTCATCACCCGCGATACCTCACTAAATCGGTACGTACGCACGCCCTGTCGAACGCCAGTCGCCTCCTCTGCACCGATTGCTCCCGAACGATCGAATTTCTGTCCCTTGTCATCGCCGCCGCCCCGTCTCGCATCACATCTTCCAACAACGAGGAGGGCGAAAAAAGCCACCACACACAAGAGCAAAAAATCACTAACATCTCGGTGCCGCAGCAACCATGGCTCGTGGACTCAACGCGGCGCGCAAGCTGCGCCTCAACAGGAAGGACCAGCGCTGGGCGGATCTGGGATACAAGAAGCGTGCTCTGGGAACCGCCTTCAAGTCCTCCCCCTTCGGTGGCTCCTCCCACGCCAAGGGCATCGTCCTCGAGAAGGTCGGTGTCGAGGCCAAGCAGCCCAACTCGGCCATTCGCAAGTGTGTCCGTGTTCAGTTGATCAAGAACGGCAAGAAGGTCACCGCTTTCGGTATGATACACCCCCACGGTCCGAGGGACGAGAGGAAAACGGGGAGAGTCGCGCGCCCGTCGGCGTGGCGTGACCTGGACATCCTTATCGTTGCGCACGACATGATTGCTAACACCTTTTCCCAGTCCCCAACGACGGTTGCCTCAACTTCGTCGACGAGAACGACGAGGTCCTGCTCGCCGGTTTCGGTCGCAAGGGCAAGGCCAAGGGTGATATCCCCGGTGTTCGCTTCAAGGTCGTCAAGGTTTCCGGTGTCGGTCTGCTCGCCCTGTGGAAGGAGAAGAAGGAGAAGCCCCGTTCGTAAACGGTCGGCTCGCAAGGGTCGTCGTGTGGAAGGAGAAACGGAAAATTTCGGCACTTGGAGTTCACGCTTTGCATTGGGCATGGATCATACGGTCACGGTCCTGATACTCTCGGAAGGCAGACATTTGGTCGATGAATGAAACAAGATCATAAACGTCCACCTGCTTGTGGCGAGGTGTCACAATTGAACACCAGGCACGGAAATTTCGCTTCTGCACGGCGACGAGATCATATTGAACGTGCCATGGATGGTGATGAATGACGAACGAGAGAAAGCAGACGTGGTTATGATGTACAGGTACAACGTGATACATTACAGTCACGAAGGTTTTACAGGTCTATCGCATCTAGTGTACAATCGCCTTGTTGTCTTCGTCGTCGGCGGCGTACCGCACAGCGTAGTCCACGCCGAGGCCCATGCTGATGACGCCGCCGGTGATCCAGCAGCCGTTGACGAACCACCACCAGCAGTCCTTGACGCTCTTGAGATTGACGCGCTTGATCATGATGCCGAGCGTCACGAGCGCGCCGCCGCAGCTGCCGACGAAGAAGGCAGGGCCAGCCCCGGCCGCAACGCCTGCGGCGCCGAGCAGGCCGATCTGGACAGCGGCCAGGCCCGTGAGGACCTTTTTCGTGTCGGCGTCGTGCTTGAGGGCGATGCTCTTGATGCCCGCCTTGGCGTCGTCCTTGATGTCCATGTGGGCGTAGATCATGTCGTACAGCACCGTCCAGGCAATGTTGGACGAGTAGAGGCAGGCGGCGGCCGTCAGCGCCGCGCTGTTGGCGAGCAGGTCGACGCCGAGGGCGGGGAAGCCCATGAAGGCGCCCCAGGAGAAGGTCAGGCCGAGAACGGCTTGAGGGTAGTAGGTGACGCGCTTGGCGAGGGGGTACGAGGCGACGAAGAGTAGGCTCGGGATCCCGTAGTAGAGGCACTGTAGCGGGAAGGAGAGGAGGTGCCGAGACCCGCGAACAGCTGGGCTCCGGTGAAGACGAGAGCGTTGAAAGGCGTGACAGCGCGGCGGGCGATGGGGGCGGAAAGCGCGTGCGAGTGACGTGAGGGTCGAGGGTTGCGGTCCCACAGGTCGTTAATGGTACAAACCGGCGCCGCGCATGATGAGAGCGCCGGAGAAGAAGAGGAGTGTCGTTCCCAGGACGGACAGGGGGCTGGCCATGGGCATGGCCATCGGTGCGGCCATGAGCGTTGAGAAGAGACAGGGGAAGAAGAGGTAGTAGGTGCCGGTCGGCTTGTCGATACGGATGAGCTCTGCGTAGGGGACCCATGACTTCGGCAGAACAGAGAGGATGCCCGCCGTCGGCGGCGTGTATACGGGCTCAGCCAGGGGAATTGGTGAGCTGTCAGGGGTGACAGCAGTGGTAGCACATCTTGCCGGGGTGAGAGGAACGAGCGCCGGCGGACAGTTCAGGGTCCGCTGAACAATGCTTGTCTGGGGTTTCCTATATGGCCGTAGTGCCAGACTGGCGGGTGTTCTCCCAGACGAAAGTGAAAACGCGCGAGCTTGTAGTCCGCGAGCCGCCCATGCCGGGCTCACAGGGAGTCTAACCATTCTCAAGACAACGCTCATCAATGTCAGTTGCTGGAGAGGGATCTGGCGGAGAAGAGCCACTCACAGTTACCGGTACATGTACAGAAGGAGAGAACCGTTCATCGCCCCCCCAGCCAGACTGAAGTGAGCACACGCAAGCCGGTGACGGTTGTGAAGTGAGATCGTGTATCGCCAAGGTCAGTTTTGGTCAAAAATGTTGATGGTATGGACTTTGCTCATTCGCTCCCGAATCGACGAAGTGGTCCGTGCCAACGACTTTGCGGGTTTCCATTCTTATCGTACCTTACCTGGCCAGAGCTAGAACGCGCCACGAACCAAGATATCGCATAAATCTCGGCACCTTCAAGACATTCGGCTTCTTCTTGAGATTCGGCTCCTTCAAGAGTTCATGAAACTCAACGAGAACTCGTCCTGCCTGTTTCGAAGCTGACTGATGGCTCAGACTCTGACCGCAGAGCATCCTGTCTTGTTTTGCCCCATCACCGATTCGGAGCCATTGCAGGGCTTGTTGTTCGTCTGGCCATCGTGAATCAGAATGAATGCAGCACTGAAAGCAAGTCCATGTCCATGCCTTTGGCTGTCACATGACTGCCTTGCATGGCAATCGAGAGGGGCTGGTTGCGCCGACGGATGCCTCCCTGACGAGACTACACACACAGGCTGCGCCTCAATCATCGATCGCACGAGATGGACAGCTGTTGCTGCCGATTGCTGTGCAGCCCGGACCGTGGCTCCGTACGGGCAACTGGATCCCTGGCTTCTTGAAGTGCTGACCGCCAATATGAGGCCCGCCGCCCCAGGAGAATGAGCTCACGACAGCACCGGCTGCTGGGGTCATGTAAGAAAGGCGCGGCTGGTGGTGGCTTGTACACAGAGTGCGAAGCAACGCGCCCGCGG